AAAATTAAATCTTTTAAAGAGTCAGCAAAAGCAAAGTCCTACTCTCAAAGAGCTTCCCATTCACTAAATGATATTAAACATTTACACAAATACAGGTCAATGAACACTTCTGGGATTAGTGAAAAAAAGAAACCAGAGGTTCCCCTTTAGGCATAAGGATTTCATACCTCCACCTGCCTTCCTACATTGTGCAACACCTGCTTTGGGAGGGACAACAGCCTTCTTATCTCTGGAATGGGTCTGGAGTGTGCTGCATCCCAGCCACATCTGAGCAGAGGCTCTGGAGCCAGCGTGTGCTCCTACCACTCCTTGTCCTTTTGGCATGGATGGCGTGGTCTGAAGGGGACCCAGGGACAAAGCAGCTGCTGCTAGCTCACAGAGGATATGTAAGAGCACAAAACAAACGTGCTCTTACAGAAATCCACGGCTGTCTTTTTTAAAGATATATTTTTAATATTCTTAAAAATTATGTGTATATGTGTGTAGGTCTGTGTATATGCACATGGGTGCAGGTGCCCATAGAGGCCAGAAGAGAGTGTTGGATCCCCTGGAGCTGGAGGTACAGATGGCTGTGAGTCACCAGACATGGGTGCTGGGACCAGAACCCAGGTTCTCTGCAAGAGAGAACCACTGAGCCATCTTAACCACTGAGCCATCTCTCTAGCACCTCTGTGCCTATCTTGAGGTCACTTGTTTCGGTACCCAAGCTAATTAATACAGTATATGAATGGAGAGTTCACAGAAGGAAACACAGTCCTTAGGCACAGGAAAAGATGCTAACCCTACTTCCTAACAAAAGAAGGAAAAATTAAGGGGCTGGAGAGATGGCTCGACACTTAAGAACACTGGCTGCTCTCGTAGAGGACCCAGGTTAGATGCCCAGCACCCACATGGCAGCTAACAACCATCCATAACTCAAGTTCCAGGGGATCAGACACCCTCTTTTGACCTCCACAAGCATTGCATAACATGGATGCACTTACATACACGCAGGCAATACACTCATAAACATAAAATAAAAATAAGTATTTTTTTAAAAAAGAAGTGCACATTAAAATGACACAGGGAGACTATTTCCCATGTATCAGCTTGGCAAAAGTCAAGACAGTTGACACGGCTGTGCGGGGAAGGTGAACAGCAGATGCTCCTCACTGCAGCTGGGAAAGCAAAAGCCTCACCTGTGTGGGGAAGAGGTGAGATAACCAACAAAGTTACATGTACGCTCACCCTCTGATCAGGAAAGCCACTGGCTAGGAATGGATCCCAAAGACAGACTGGCAAAAACACAGTACGGCAAAGCACAAGGTCATTCAAGCAGGGCTGTTTACAACAGCAAAAGATCAGAAACAACCCAACTGCCCAGGGGTAGTGTGGATTAAACGATGTGCCCATCAATTGCCCACACTGAAGCCCTGCTCCAGTGTGACTGCAGTTGGAGACAGGTCTTTAAGGAGGTGGTAAGGGTGAAATAATCAGGGTGGAGACATAGTCTGGTGTCCTCATGCCTTCATGACAAAAGTCCTGAAAAATTAGGAACAGACCCCAAAATAATGGGTATATATGACAAAACTATAGCCAACAGTGTGCTAAACGGTAAAGAATGGGATATTTCCTCTAAAATCTACACTGAAACAAGGGGCTGCTTTCTATTGTTATTCAGTATTGTGCTTTAAGCCTTAGCTGGAAAAGTAGGATGAGAAAAGGTACGAACAGGAAAGAAAGTCAAATCATCCCTGTCTGCAAACATGAGCCTCTATGAAGAAGACTATGGACAGACTCCACCCGGAACCTTTTAGATCTGATAAGCACTTTTGGTACAGTTTCAGGATACAAAATTAACACAAAAATCAGGAGCTTTTCTATATGGCAATTATGAACTTGCTAAGAAACTAGGAAAAAATACTCCATTCATACCAGCTTTTTTTTTTTTTTTTTTGGGTCTTTTTGGGACAGGGTCTCCCTGTAGCCCTAGCTGGCCTGGAACTATGTAGACCAGGCTGGCCTTGAATTCAGAGATCTGCCTGCTTCTGCCTCCCAAGTGTTGGGACTTAAAGGCCTGCGCCACCACCGCCGGCCCATTCATAATAGCTTCATAGAAAATACAGTACCTAGGAATAAACCTAACTAAACAAGTGAAAGATCTCTATAATGAAAACTTTAAAGACATGGAAAACACTAGACGATGGAAAGACCTTCAATACTTCTGAATTGGCACATTTAATAATCGTGAAAATGGCTATTTTGCCACAAGTAATCTGTAGACTCAATATAACCCCCATCAAAAGTTCAATGACATTCTTCATAGAACTAGAAAAAAATTCTAAAATTCATATGGAAACACAAAAGTTCACAAATAGCCAAAGCAATCCTGAGCAGAAAAAACTCTACTGCAGGGGGGTGTCAGAATATTTCACCTCAAATTCTACTATAGAGCCATAGTGATAAAACAGCATGGTACTAGGACTTACAGACACCTAGACCAATGGAATAGCATGAAGGACCCAGAAATGGTGGTCACCTAATACTTCACAAAGGTGTCAGAAAAAAGACAGCCTATTCAACAAATGGTGCTGGTGAAAACTAGATAGACACCTGCATAAAAATCTATTCAAACTGGATTAAAGACCTTAACTTAAAACAAAACCCTTAAACTGTAAGAGGAAAACAGGGGGGAAATACTTCACAATACAGGTATAATCAAGAACTTTCTGCATAGAACCCTAACGGCACAGTTAACAGCCTTAGAACTAATGAAAGGGACTACATGAGATTAAAAAGCTTCTTCACTGCAAAGGGAGCTATCATGGAGTGAACACACGAGCCTACAGAATGGATGAAAAATCTCTGCAGCTGTACTTCAGACAGGGGAGTAATATCTGAACAGATAAAGAACTGCAAAAAGCAAGCACACAAAAAATGCCAACCAGTAAATGGGTTAATGAACTGATGAATAGACAGTTCTCAAAAGAAGGAACACAGATGGCCAGTAAACATTTTATAAAGTGCTCAACATTCTTAACTATCAGGGAAATGCAAATTAAAACTACTTTGCGATTCCATCTCACCCCAGTTAGAATGGCAGCATTAAGAAATCAAAGTAGGGGAGAGACTTGTAGAGCAGCAGTTCAGCAAGGGGGTGAAAGCGGGTAATGGGCGGCAAAAGGGACCAGAATCCACTTTATACATGTATGAAATCACCAAAGGATTTTTTCTTTAAGATAATTTTTTTCCTTAAAACTGCTCATCATAGGACTGCAATTCCTGTAACAGCAGCTCAACAAGGTGTGAGTTGTTTTCCCCAGAGGGCAGCAGTAAACAGGCTGGGGATCTAGAGAAGCCTTAATCTGCCTGGTGTCATGGCGCACTGATGATCTCAGCGATGGGAAGGGGTGTCACATGTAATGAAAGAAGAGCACATGTCTGTCCCAGGCACATTCCCAGGATTCCTGAACATCCCAACATCTGTTGCAACCAACAGCTTCTCCTGGATTTGAGATTCAGGGGACAGAGACACAGCTCCAAGCGGCCATGCTCACCCCTCAGCATTCTGAGGGATTCCATTCATCTTTGAGGGACCTTGACTCAGGCCGAGCTGGGATTTGTGGTTTTGAGGCTGAAAAAAATTTCAGGACCAGCTGATATGAGGAAGCAGAATTGCAGATTTTATCAGAGAGAGCTAGGATGGGGGTTTCTATAAGAGAGAGCAAGCTGCGTTTCAGGTGTCTGTCCCAGGGGTGAATGTATGTAGGACTTGGGGTCTTGGGAATGTCATTGCTCAACAGATATTCTTGGGACACCACCCCTTCTTTACCTCTGTTCCACTTCTGCGTAGTTGAGATTACAAACTGGCCCTTGGGGTGTCTTAAATGGGATTACAATATGCAAGTCTGTAGCTGGGAAGAAAGGCCTCAAGCAATTTGGAATTCTTGCTGCTGTGCTGGTGAGGGCTTCCAGCAGACTCCTTTTCCTTCTCCTGTCCTACTCCTAGCCCCGATTTTTCCACTCTTTCTAGCCTGTCTCTCTTGTCCCAGGGACATCAGCAGGTGTGGAATAAAGGGATGGGAATCCTGCCTGATAGTGAAGTCTGCATCACGCATTACCAGCAGATAAATGAAAGTTCTCCTGCTTAGCAATGCAATTCTGGGCAACCTGACCCCTCCTCTATGACACAAAATTAATACTGTCCCACCCACTCATCAGGGTTTTGCAACAAAT